GTCCCCTGGTGACGTTTTACGGGGTCTCCACACTGTCCTACAAGTCCCCCCGGCGACCGAGGCGTCCCCAGAGAAGACCTTGAGCTCCTCGTGGTGACCCTGAGCTCCTCCCCGGTGGCCCCGAGCTCCCGGCGGCGTCCCCGCGGCGGCTCCTACGGGGGTCCGGCGGCGGGGGCTCCCCCCCAGCCCTCGAGGTAGCCGGCGAAGAGGGCCTTGGCGCGGCGCAGGACGCGGGGCAGGTGGTGGCGGCGCACGAGGCGGTCGAAGTGCATGGCCACCTCGTTGTAGTCGCCGGCGCGCGCCATGACGGCGTCGCGCTGCTCCAGCAGCATGGCCAGGCACACGAACAGCAGGAAGGGGTTCCCCTGGCCCAGCTCCTCCGGCGGCGGCAGCGGCGCCCCGTCGTCCTCCACCCCCAGCTCTTCGTCAGAGGAGGAGGAGGAGGAACAGGAGGAGGAGGAGGAAGAAGAGCCGGAGTCCTCCCAGGCCCAGCGGCCGCCCCAGGGGTCTTCGGCGGTGGGGTCGGGGTGGGCGTCAAGGTCCTCCGTGGGGTCGCCGTGAAGCTCTACGGGGTCGTCGCGGTCCTCTCTGGGGTCGTGTCCGTCTCTGGGGTCGTTGTGTCCTTCTCTAGGGTCGTTGTGTCCATCTCTGGGGCCCCCGTGTCCCTCTTTGGGGTCATCGCATCCATGTCCATCTTTGGGGTCATCGCGTCTCTTCCTGGGGTCGTCACGTTGTCCAAGGTCATCGTGTCCCTCTTTGGGGTCACTGTGTCCTTCTCTGGGGTCGTGTCCCTCTTTGAGGTCACCATGTCCCCCTTTGGGGTCATCAGGTCCTTCTCTGGGGTTGTGTCGCTCTTTGAGGTCATCGTGTCCCTCTTTGGGGTCACTGTGTCCATCTCTGGGGTCATCACACCCCTCTCTGGGATCGTGTCCACCTTTGGGGTCATCGTGTCCCTCTCTGGGGTCACCACGTCCCTCTCCGGGTTCTTCTCCAACCCCCCCCGAGAAGTTGGGCTGTTGGTCAATCTCAAGGGCGTCGGTGCCTTCCTCGACCTTCCTGGGACCACCAGGACCTCGAACCGTGTCCTTGGAGCCATCGGGGTCTTTGGGGCTCTTGGAACCCTTGGGGACGTACCTGGAGCTCTTGGGACCCTTGGGGACGTTTCTGGAGCTCTTGGGACGCTCCTGGATGTTCCTGGAGCTCTTGGGACCCTC